CACACACACACACACACACACACACACACACACACACACACACACACACACACACACACACACACACACGGCACCCTGCAGCAGGGAGAGTCGGCTGGCTGTGAGGGGCTGACGTCCAGGGAGCACAGTTCCCATCCACCGCCCGCTCTGCGCGCAGCTCGGGCGGGCGGATGTCTTGAAGCGGCTCTGTCCCTGCCCACAAGTTATGGGCCGAGGCAGATGCAGACATAAAATCGCTGGCCTCAGCTCCTGGATCAGCAAATTAGCTCTGGCAAACGGCAGGACAGCTGCAATCAGCAAAACAGCTCCCTGCACGTATCCTGATATGTAACCCTAGACCCATGCTGCTAAATATAAGAGACAGTTTAGGGCGACCGACTACTTCCCTGATCTAAAATAGCATCCATATTCATGGTTTACTACCAATGCTGAAAAAAAAATACATGTTCCTGTTATTATTAGCCGCTGGGAGTTATCTTAAAAGTAGATGCCTACATCCAGACATTTAATCCCTGTTCTACTAAACCCAGAATTAGAGATGCCATTTAAGTGCTACTTGTCATCACAGAGAAGTCACACAGAAGGAACCCCCCTCCCAAACACTGATCGTCCCTTATCAGAGGTGTGGAGAAGGAAGCAGCTTCGAGCCTTGTTGTTATGAAGCATCCGAATTTCGGCTCGGTACCTGTTTCTGAAGCGTGGATGAGCCCCCAGTCAAACTGACAGTGGCTGGACCATGATGCTCTCCCCACGTATAGGTGGTTCCCAGTCCACACCCACACAGTGGGCCATGGACAAGCCCTAGCAATTTCCCAAGGAGGCCACTCCTGATGCTGCCTCAAAGTGTTCACTCCCAGGGGTCGGGGGGCAGGTGACACAGAATTCATGGAAATAGGAATGAGTTGTTTGACTGCTTAGAAGGGTAGCAAAGGGTCTGATGAGCAGTATGAAAGAGGACCTCACACAAATTGCCACACATAAGAGAGAAGGTAAATAAAAATTCTTTTTTTTTAACCTTTTTAGAGCTTTATTAGGAGGAGGAAAGAGAGAGAGACAGAGAGACAGAGACAGAGAGACCTCACGGAGGAAAAGTATAGAGCAAGCGTAAATAAAAATTCTAATGTCCATGTTTTTTCAAAACAGAGTTTCTCTCTGTAGCTTTTAGAGCCTGTCCTGGAACTCACTCTGTAGACCAGGCTGGCTTCAAACTCACAGAGATCCACCTGCCTCTGCCTCCTGAGTGCTGGGATTAAAGGCGTGCGCCACCACCGCCCAGCAATGCTGGTCTTATTGGAGGAAATGTGTCACTGTGGAGGTGGACTTTGAGGTCTCCTTTGCTCAAGTGTCCCTCAGTGTGACACTCTGACCACATTCTATTGCATTCATATCAAGATGCAGCCAGCACCATCTCTGCCTGCACGCCGCCATGTCCCAACATGACGATAATAGATGACCCTGACACGGTAAGCCACTCAATTGAATGTTTTCCTTTATAAGAGTTGCTGTGGTCATGGTGTCTCTTCACAGCAATAGAAACCCTAAGACAGGTTCCCTCCTCTCAGATGACTCTAGCTTGTATCAAGCTGACATGATTGGCCAGTTGAAGAGAACCAACTCCTGAAAGTTGCACTGTGGCCACCACATGAATGCCATGAGACAGGGACATCCACACTATGCAACATACGTATACATGCACACATACACACATATGCTAATAATAGATAAACACAGTAAATGCTGGATACAATTTATGTAATTTTCATTTGGCGCTGGTTTCCTCAGGCATAATATAGGTCTCTGGCGGTAGGGGCCACGCTGAGTGTGTTCACCTCTGATTCCTAGAAAAGGCAGGAGGTGGCACAAAGACTTTCCATGAACATTCATTGGATGGATGATGGATGGATGATGGATGGATGGATAGGAGGATGGATGAAAGGATGGAAGGATGGATGGATAGATGATGGATGAATGAGTGAGTGAAGAAGAAATGGAAGAGAATGTAATTGAAGGTTTCTCCACCATCTTGTCATTGTTAACCAACAGAAAACCTAAATTTTAAGTCAAGGTGAAGCTAAATCTAAGTGTTAGCTGAACATTCCATCTCAAAACACATTCACTTTTTCTTTATCACTTATCACGACAATTCAGCAGAAGGACGAAATGAAAATGCATCTATACAGAAGTTATTTCAAGATAACGCGCCTATAAATCTCCTGAGTGGCCTTTCCCAAGCCTCCTTTGAGTTTAGGCTGCCCTCTAGTGGGGAGCGATGGAAAAGGGCACTCTAGGGTATTGCTTTGCTGAATGGCACTGGAAAGAATTGTGTTGCCAAAGTTCCTTCCCAGGGGGTGGGGGAGAGATGTAACCAATATCTACCTCTTCTCCTAAGGATCCAACGGCAAACCCAGGCCCAAATCAGCCAAAGTTCACTCTGGGGAACC